CCTCTCATTTCTCATTCAAGGATGATACATTCTCGTGAGGCTTTTACCTGAACCATGGTTCTACTCAGAAAAAGTTAATCTTTTATTATTATTTGATTCTAGGTGTCTCTTGTTCAGAAATCACTCACAGTCGAGCAAGCTGAGAAGACTGCCATTATTTAATGTCTGAACTCTAAACAGAGCCAGGGATGATCACGTAGTTAATGATGGTCAGAGGTTAACGACGGGTCAATGAAGGGCTCTGACTAATGAATGGAAAAGGACTACAGAACTGCAAAGTCACTCAGTGCACTGGCTGGCAAAGACACCGTAAACCCTTGTAAGCCCAAGCCTGCAGCCACCTTTTTGCCATCCTGGCAAATCCATGCAGCACAGCAAGTATTCCCAAATCACTCCTGGCAGAACCATGCACAGCCCCAGCTCCCACCACAAGAACACAGGCTGACCATGTACCCCACCTCTTGTGCCCAGCTGCTGTCTGCTCCACAAGATGTCTCAGCAGTACTTAAGTAAGTGATGGGCAATCCTATCACATCCTTCCTGAAAAATAGTTCTCCATCTCCTAGAGATTTAACAGCAGTACAGGAGTGTCAGTGCTATAAAATACAAATAAAGTCACATAATACAAATAAAAGTTACACCATTGTCCTCATCATCATTGTTATTATATTTGCTCTTGAATAGGCAAAGGAACTGAAGGAAAAATAGGTTCAATTAGAAAATGAGGAGAAGGAAGGAAACTGTACTCCACATAGAGAAGAATACAAACAGCAGAAAGAGCATGCCAATATGCGCACCTTGAGGACCAGTGGCAATCAGTATTGTTTCTCTTGATTAACAACCAGCAATAATTAGACCATTTATTAGACCTTAAGTCAGATCATGGAGTATTTTACATAGTCCACCTCTGGAAGAAAACAAGAGAACAGGAAAGCAGTTGTTTATTTGTTATAGCGAAGTATCCGTAACAAAGCATGGAGATATCTTTCTGATTTTCCAACTGCTCGGGCGTCTCATCAGTACACCAGGAAGGAGGAAGCAGACCAGGGAGCTGAACGTCTAAATTGACAGAAGGTACGCAGCTCTGCACAGACCACTTGTGAGACAAAAGGAAGAAGAAGCATGCTTGCAGGCCTGGGTTCTATCTGTGCACCATTTGTAACCTCAGAAACATGGAAGGCCTTCTTGCTATGCAGACTGGTGAATCAGGCTGTGTTAATGTTTTATTTCACAACTAGAACGGAGGCATGGCAGAGAGACACTTCAGCTGACTTCATGTTTAGGACAGCTTGTTCAGCATGTTATTTGAAATGTCAGTCTTGTGGGGGAGGTTTCCATGCCAGCAGTTTTCTTCAGAAGCTACAAAAGTGGGCAAGCACACACCCAGCTCTTAGTCAACCTTCAGCCTTATTAACACACAGCAAAACATAATGCATACACACGAGTAAGCAGAGCACACAGATGGGAAACAGCAAGAAGGACTTGTTTAAAAGAGGATTAAAAAAAAAAAAGAGTTGCCATGCTTCTTTGCAGCACACCACACCTAGGAGACTAAACAGCAGTGTTACAGCTCACCTTATTTATCCAAGGCAGGGAGCTGACCTTTCCAGGCTCATTTGTTTCAGCAAACTTTGCTCATGCTACTCATGACTGCTCATATTCATAAGATTGGAACATCAAATAATTGCTGATAATGTAAAAAATGCGTGATAGGAGGAACAATACTGCTTCCTATTAGAATTTAATTTGTACTCTGAGAAATTGCTTCAATTACTTTGGTCATTTTCCTATCAAAGGTACATTTTTAAATTCCCCACTGCACTTCCACAGATACGAAGCCTTTCTGTGTCTTGGCAACAAAACTTAATGAATAGATTAAAGAGGGTAATATCATTCAGTTAAGTAATACTTAATTATAAGAAATTATTTTGTTCCAGGTTTTTCAGTGCCCACCTGAGCATTGTTTCAGTTGCACAAAAAAATGCCACCCTGCAGGACAAGCAGGAGACCCAGACTGCTTCAGGGCTGGCGTGGCTTCAGTCTTGGCACCTGACCCCAAAAGGGCACTGTGTCTGACCTATGAAAGGAGACAAGAAAATCCATTCACCTTTGTAAACATCAGTGCACCACATGGTTAAATAGCACAATATAAATTTAAAGTAGCAATTAAGATGACGCTGAGCACCAAGAATCAACTTGAAACAAGCTCATTAATGGCCCCGCTGCTGGAAACAGTTGTTTAATGGTTCAGTAGTGAACAGATTGTACAGTCTGCAAAATCATAGAATCATAGAATGGCTTGGGTTGGAAGGGACTTCATGATGGTTCCTGATAATTTTTTAAAAATATATATTCATATTCTGATAATGGCTTGAACCAGTGAGTTCACATGAAGAAAACAGTTACAAAGACTCAAAAATGAGTTCTTGCTTATTCCCAGTTTGTATTGGTACAACTCTGAAGTCAGCTGTGTTCTAGAAAGGCATTAGGGCACTTAGGATTGATACTGGTATCCAGTACTGTACTTCAGCAGTGTGTGTGTGACCTGTTACTTTCTGAACCATCACCAGAACCAAGTGTATCTCTGACTTTCTTTCCCCATGCATTGCAGTCACCCAGTACTCCTAGCAGGCAGTTTCATTTTCTATGAGACAAGATGCAGCTGCAGGAGAGACATCACACTTAAGTAAGCATGTCTCCTCATATGCAGTGAAGACGCTGTATATATGTGAGTGATGTATGCTGGTCTTGCTTCTGTTAGTAACACTGGCCACTGGCCTCACCATTCCTAATACAACAAATCTTGGATAGGTCACCTTCCTTCTTTCCTTCCTTTCTCCTTCCTTTTCTTCCTTCTTTCCACTCACCATCCGTCTGTCTATCCATCATCCATCCATTATCCATGCGTCCAACCATTATCCATCCATCCATCTATCCATCCATGCATCCATCCATCCATCCATCCATCCATCCATCCATTTATCCACCATCCATCCATTATTCATTCATCCACCATCCATTCATCCTATGTGGTCTTCCCATTTGGCCTAGAGACAGCTATCTCTAAAAATGAACCAAAACAGCACAGATAGAGTATCTCATGCATTTCCTTCTTGTGTTCCTCTCTCAGGTCTCCTGCAGGGCGAGCAGTCCTGCTGGAGTCTGCTGGCCAGGCATATCCCACAGATCTCACCAGATCCAGAGGACTGATGCTCTCTCCATAGCTCTGGCTTTTCATCACTGATGCCAACAAAGGGAGAAAAAAACCTGCCACCCAGCCATGAGGGAGGCCATGAGGGGACACACTTCACATCTTTAATGAAGTTCTGCACTGGATGAGAATGGTTGCTTTCAGGGCAGTCCACATTGAGTCCAGCATAGTGAAATGCTGAGCCTGGCTGCAGTTCCCCACAGCTACTGCAGCCAGAGAAATAACGACAAGCAGAATAATGGGATACAAAATGTATGTATTTTGACCTTCTTTCATATTTTTTTCTGTAATCATAGTGCATTCACAGACATAACCTAAAAACATATAATTTAAGGGAAGGGACCACTCCTCCACAGGGAAAGACTGAATGGCTTTTTTTCTGTTCTGGAATAGCTATTTTTAGTGAAAGAAGGCTATTTATGTAGCGTGAAAGCTAAGTACTCAAGAGGTCTTTCGGAAATATATTCATAACAGGCCTTTGGAGATCACTAACGGTGTAAAGGTTCCATGCATGAAAAACTTCTCATGAAATGAGAAGGAAGTCACAGAGATGCCATCCCTGCAGCCCAGCCCTTCCTTTGCCGAGATGTGGGTCAGGCAGCTTCTGTTGTGCCTGCAGAGCTGTATCCAGGGCTCCACTGCTGGGCGCTCAGGGTGCACAGGCTGCCCACTCACACACAGCGCTTGGCTGATGTGCTCCTCTGCTCCACCCCACGTCTTTCAGAACCTGAAGGAGTGATTTCTATCACTGTGATGCCTTTCATTTTCAGATCATAGCAGGTGAAGAGTTTTCAGATCACAGAATCACAGAATAGCTTGGGACCTCAAGGATCATCAAGTTCCAACACCCCTGGCATAAGCAGAGCTGCCATCTCTAGGTGCCTCGTGTTGTAAAGGTTATGGGAGACCGGCAGCGTTATGGAGGAAATACTGAACACGAAGAGATGGGCCTGCGTGTCCAGCATGGCACAGAGACAGGCCCTCAAAGCAAGGGATGGTCGCCAGCCACAGGATCTCTGCGTTTGGAGGAACAGCAGAGGCAGACCTCTGGGAACAAGGGCCTCCTTCCAGCGTCGGAGCCGAGCTCGCTCAGAATATCCCGATTCGTCTTCCTTCACCTCGGGGGTCGCTCCCCCGAGCGATCGAAGGCGCCACGAGGGCCACGAGTTCCGACCCTCCCGACAGGCACCCGGGGGCGGCGCGGAGTCGCGGGCCGGGCAGGGGGCGGGAGCGGCGGCGCCTGCGCGCCCCCCGCCCGCCGAGGGGCCGCGCCGGGCGCTGGGGCGGGGTCTGCGGGCGCCGACGGGGCGGGCGGCGGAGGGCGCCACGTCGGCAGCGGAGGACGGCGCGGGAGTAAAGTCTCCGCTGGGCCGGGTCGCGCCGCGCTCGCTGCGACGCGCGGTGAGTGGGTGCCGGGCGGGGAGCCGCCGTTCGCCGTTATCCCGGGGGCGGGAGGGCGATCGCCCGTCCGGCGCTCCGCTGCCGCTCGGGGACGGGGAGCGGGCGGGGGGCCTCGGCCGCGGCCGAGCGGGGCCACCGGTCCGCGGAGGGCGCAGCCTTTGTGTTTCCTGCCGGGGCCCCGCGCCGTGAGGACGGGAGGGGGGAAGGAGGGCAGCCGCGGCGCTGCGCCGCGGCCTCGGTGCCACGTCAGTGCCGCCGCCCGGCGCCGGCCCGCGGGGCTCGAGGTACCGGCGGGACGCGGCGAGGCGGCCGCTTCCTGCGCGGCGCCTGGGGCCGCCGCTCCGCCCGAGCCCCGCGGCGGCGGGAGGAGCGCTTCGCTCTGCTCTCCCGAAACTTCTCCGTGTTGGGGACGCGCTGCTCGGCCTCCCGTGCTGTCCGTTTCCTTACGCTGCTCCGCGTCGGGATGTTTCCCGCGTAACTTTCTCTCTGTTTTCACCCGCTCGTGAAGCTGAACTGCACGGAGAAGAGCCCGGAAGCGCTTCGCTTTGTATGAGCGATGTGGGGACCCAGCCTGGTCGGGCACCGAGCGGAGACGTGGTTCCCTGCGGAAGATGAAAGCAGAACGGAGGCGGCCTGCTCCGCGCGGCTGTGGGCAGAGTGCTTCTGTGTAACCGGCAGGGCATGTACGATAGCTGAGCCCTGGGCCATTCTCGGCACCCTCCATGCTCTGGGCTGAGCTGGGATAGTCGGTTTGCTCACAGTTCTGCCCAAGGAGTGGTTCCAGCGCTGGAGCAGCGCGGTGCTGCCAAACGAAATTGGCCTCATCCTCGGGTCGTTGTGCTGCTGCCCACAGACATCTGAGCGGTGGCACTGAGAGAAGCCAGCCCCTGCTGGCGCCTGCTGGGCTGGGTTTGCTGAGCTCAGACAGTGGAGCTGTTTGTCTGCGAAGCCTGGGAGACACCATGAGCATTGCGTGAAGTCAGGGAGGTGGCACATGTGTCCACGTGCTGCTTGGCGGAAGGCTGATGGCCATCAGTGCCGGCTGCTGTCCAGGAGCTCCATCCATGCTCACGAAGGAGAGGTTGTGCCCTCAGTGTTTCAGAGAGTTGAATCCCATAACAGCCAGGCTCGGAGGCTGTGCTGAGTGCCTCTTCCCACTGTGGCAGGAATACAGTGGTAGCCCTGTTCCGTACGATGTCATTAATGCAGCACTTCTCTTCTAGGTGGATGTGGAACATCTCTGAGGAAACAGCTGACCTGACGCCTCTTTCACAAAGGAATATCTTTGGTGAGAAATTCTTGTGTTTAATGGCTCAGATGTGGATGTATCCATGGCTGGACTGGGACCTCCAGCACTTCCTGGAGCCTTCATTCAGGGTCCTATAACAGCATTAGGTCTCGACCGTAAAACCACTTCTGAGCCACTTCTTTCCTTACAACTGTGTAAATAATTGACGCTTCTGGATATTTGTATTCTGACAGTTTGGAAGAATGTGCTTTCTTCTTTAAAACCAACTGAGAAAGTGGGTTCCTTTTTTTGGGGGGGGGGAGGCCTTCATGAGCACAGAGAGGGGGGAAAAAAGCATCCGGTCACTTGTGTTCTTGTTCAGAATTTCCCATGAGGTCCACACTTGTGTCTACTTCTTTACATAAGAACACACGAAGCTTATGCGCTCATCTGCACAGATGAGAGAAGAAACTGGGAAGTATCACTCATGCCCCAGATACTTTGTTCACAGCTGTCCCTCTGTACCAGGGCTCAAGATCCCATATCCCATCTGTTTGCTTCCATGGGGTCACTTAATGTGTGTGTGTGTTAAGGGAAGCAGGGCTCTTCCACCAGTGACTCAAGATACTGAGTTCAGCATCATAGGATGAACGTGCCGAGGACAGATGTTTGCTTCCTTTCTCCCCCAGCCTCCCTTTTTTCATCTTTTCTTTCCAGCCTTAGCACACTTTGAGTAAGATTCTACAAAATGTGTCAGAAAAGTTCCCAAGTTGTGATCAATCTTTGTCTAGTTGCATGTGCTTGCAATGCTGAGAATAATTCTGCTGTTGCATTCTGTGTGTCTGCAGATTCAGAGTACGGGAGACTTGAACTTGGATGTTTCCAAGATGCTTTAATCAATACTGTGTCTGAATGATACAATTCTCCAGGCAGAACCTTATCCTTGCACCTCCAGCTGCCTTAGGTGTAGGATGAGAGTTAACAATTCCATCATGTCTCAGGTGTTTTGCTTTCTCTTCTTTTGCAGGCACGTACCTTTAGTTGGGAGAGTAAAGAGGAGCCTCCCTTAGGAAACACCGCAGTCGGGTAACCGTGGGCTCTATTCCAAGGTGGGACGTAAGCGCTTGGATCTCATCACACCAAGGAGACACTGAATTGTAGGTGAGTGCTTTCACTGTGATGGTATTATGTTAAAGATAGAAGAGCAGAACCTGCTTGCCAACTCCAGTTTTTAAAGAAAAATGGTATTCATCCCCTTCTTCTTGGACTGGATGAAGTCATTGCTGCTGAGAATTGTTCCAGACCTTTGACCTCCAGTCAATTAAATGCTCAGCTTAAGTCTCTGGAAGGGAGCCAGATTTGAGGTGTGCTTCTGTGCTTCCTGCTCACCAGATGAGCTATGCTCTGTTCAGCATGCAGGATTTGTGACAGTTTTTCAGAGATTCTAAAGTCTCCTGTCACATTAAACAGGAAAGAAAGCAGTGTGAGTCAAGCTGTCATCAAGATATCTAAAACATTTCAGTCCTTTGCTGGAGGTAGATCTTGATTCTTTGCGTCTCTGAAAAGATGCAGAAAAACAAAAAGACTTGAATTGTACTGTGGGATCTCTCTTCTGTGGCAAGAGTTGTTTTGTTTTCTGACATTGTGATCCAGTTTTCCCTTTTACACTGTAGCAGTGCTCAACTTTCTGATCCCAGGCCCCTCAAGGCTCCCTTCCCTCTAGAATGAACTCAGTCCTATTAAGGTGACTTGGTTTTCATTAGCTGCTTTTTACAGACCTAGAAAAGATTTTCTGGCTCTCTGGGGTCTGGTAACAGCAGGTTACCAGTGCCTGACCCATGTGAAGTAGGCCACTGCAGTCCATGGAGCTGTAGGAGAATGAGGCACTTCTGTGGCTTAGAAGGTGTCCTAATTGTGTTAGATTGTTGAAGGTAAGTGATGTATTGTGTGAAATTCTGTTCTTCATTTTAAAAAGTAGCTTATATTCAAGATTTCCGTAACCTTGATCATCTGGGGAAGGTAGAGGGGGAAGGGAAAGCATCACTGCTTTTGTGGAGTGCTGCAGGGTTTTGTCATTTGTTTTTTTTTTTTTTTTTTTGTCCCTAAACAAGAAACTCTACTGTGAAGCTCCCCTATCAATACATTGCTTCACTTGTTTCTTGGCTGGCAGCTGTAAGTCAGTCTGACAGTGGCCTAACCTGGATTACAGACAGCTGTGAAGCAGTCTTTTCCCCATGTTACCTGTTTGCCTACCTTACTCCAGTTCTTTCCACGGAACGGGGCTTGAATACTTGTATGATGCTACCACAGTAGGTTCTCGATCCTTCTCTGGTGCTGTACATGCTGTCAGTGCTGTTGAATCCATTAACTTCTTAACAGTGGAAAATACTAAAGCAGCAAGGATCTTGTGATGCTTCCTAGCATTCTACCATCTTCAAAACCAGTTTCCAACTGCACTCTAAGCTTGCTTATGGTCTCTGATGTCATTCTGTCTGTGATTATAGGGTTAAATTATTTTTCTGAGGCTTTTATGAAGAGTTGTTGGCGAAGTTCTTGGAAATTCAAGCAGTGAATTTCATCTGGGATTTTTTGGGAGCTGCAAGCAGGCTAGATACTGGGGATTCAAATACATCGTAGGGGTAGTTTTTTTAATCAATACAGATTATTCTCTGTACTAATTCATTTGTGTTTCCCTTGAGTCATTTTGAAAATTATTTTCACCGTTTTTCCTTTTGTTTGAGGTAAGGCTGGCTAGGTCTTCTTTTTAATAAGGAGACAAAAGCAAAGAAATGGCTTGGTGCTGAATCTGGTCTTTTCTCAGAACTCATTTCCCCTTCTGTTTCTTCCTAGGATCTGTCAGGCTCTTTTCAAACTCACTGAGTTGTGATTAAATAAAAGAACAAGGAATTACATAACTGCTTTTTTCCAAATTGCCTCTTAGCTTTCATGTATTTAGTCTCCCATATTGATGTGCTGTTAATCACTTTCCTGTTTCTCTGCTTCCACATCAAAGGACAGAAGGGCACCTGCTTGCCATTGCCATCAGATAAATCGTGCTGGCGGTAGATGCAGTTGCTCACTTTCCTGTTCTGCTCCTTGTATCAAGGTTCCCATGTTTCCTGAGCTGTGAGCCGATCCCCTCAGGGCTGATCGTGAAGACTTGTTAATGTTCAGTTTAGGCTTTCTGCTTATCCAGAGATCTATCACTCAGCATGTGGGTGCTGGCTCTTATTGCGCTGTTTTGACTTCACAGTTGCGCTGTGAGGGTTTGAGCTGCTCTTTTCCAGGCTGACTGTTCTCACCCTTGAGTTGTGGGTCTGCCTCATCATCCCTTCTTCAGATCCACCCTCCTGAGCTGCAGAAATGGGCATGGCAGGAGGGGCTGAAGTTCTTGTGCTGGTGGTCAGCGAGTGTGTGCAGGGAGGAGGAAAATATGGAAGTCCCCTGGCAAGGCAGGAAGGTAGAAGGATGTTGAGCTGCACTAGAAAGCAGCTTATGGTGGGTTTTGTGTGGTTTGGTTGTTTTGTTTTAATGTCACCTGAAGTGTTTTCTTTGGAATGCTTGCATATAGGTAAACTGCTCCAGTTGTGCTGCCGTCACCACATGGTGTGTGCAGTGCAGCTGCTGGGTATCTGGAATGTTTTCATTATGTTTCTTTCACCTTTTGTTGGTTTTTTTGTTTGTTTGTTTTTTCTCCTGGCCTTTATTCAAATCCTCCTGCAAGCACTCCTTTCTTTAAACTGCTGCTTCCTAGGTCCTAATGGGTCTTACAGGCAGACTGCTATTGTTTTCCAGCATCCACCACTATGATTGCTAATCTCTTTCGTAGCACATAATCAGAAGCTGTTGTATGGTGGTGGCTGCTTGATGTGTGCTTGGTGTAGGGTTGCTGCTCATGCTAAGGTGGCTGACCTGCTGGAAGGCTCCTCCTCAAGTACTGAGTCTGGTTGAAGAGTTCAACAGCACAGTCTCATAATAAAAAGTGCAGTAATCGGGCAGCAGATACCAGCTTATCTAGTAATGAGGAATAAATTCTTTGTCTGTGGAACTGATGCTGTATGACTTTTAGATTCACAAATTGTATTTTTGCTTTGGCAGAAGAGTTCTGTAGCATATGTGAACTTATGTTTTTTTAGGCAACAATGAATCAAACAGACAAAAGTCATCAGGAAGTCCCGTCCTACCTCCATGATGAACCACCAGAAGGTATGTATTAGTTTTCATAATACCAGGTAAGTTTACAGAAATTCTCCAAAAGATCAGATCTATTTTAAAAATGGATCTGCAAGTTGAACTCTGTTAACTGTTGAATAATAGTAAACAACTCAGTCCTGGTTTGGGATAGGCCTGGGTTCTTGTTCAGTTCTGTGTTGTCCTGATACAAACCATTGAGTTCACTGTGGTTAATAACTCTGCTGGTAAGTTAAAGAGATGGGCAGATACTGAAGGATGTAGTTTGCAGATCAGTTCCCAGAGGTCTGAATCAATCCATATATGAGGTGAAAAGAGCCCAGCTACCCTTTTGGATGCTTGCTGAGTTTGTAGTACTTGTGACTTTTAGACAAGATGGATCTGTCTCTATTTCTGGAGAAGTACTCCATGTTCTCTTTTTGTCCATGATAAAAATTAGTTGTGGTTCTCACTGGTTGGCTTAATCTCATGGTTTCATGAAGATGACAAAAAGAATGCAGGGACATCTTGGTCCCACAAACCAAATGAATTTTAAATGTCTTGTTATATCTGCAGAGGAAATAAAAATTCTGAATGAGCAGTATTCCCTTCTAGGCTGTGGACTGTGAGGATTTGGTTTGTGTAGCGTGGCTGGGGGCATACTGGATCCAAAACCACTCTCAACACAGAGGTCTTCTATGTTTCGTCTTCTCTCACCTTAATACCAAACATATGTAGAGGTCAGCAAGTCCTGATTGCTCTGTTTCATTATTCTTTGGTTTATAATGACACTTAAAAGCTTTAGTTGTTTGCAGGTTATTTTTTTCTCAGCTTTTACTTATTGTGTAACTGAACAATTTACTTCACTTGAACAGCAGAAGAGGTTCAAGTAGGATAACTTGCTGTATTCTTAACAGAGGAAGTACAAGGACAAGAAGATGAGAAAAAAGGGCTAAATACATTTTGGCAGTGCAGTGGGGTTTTTAAGGATATTGTTAAGAGCAAATACTTGTTAAGCTCTCGTAGGGTTGTCAAGATCCTTGAAGCATTTCTGAGAACAGATGTCTGGTTGGAACCTATGCCCTAATATATCTTATATTCAAGTCAAACTCCATAAGCTTATTTTCCTTTTTTGTTTTGTTTTGTTTTGTTTTTTTTTCTTCCTCCTTGAATTGTGTTCCACACATGCCAAACCACGTGTATAGAATTTGAGTGGTGGCCTGACTGGTAAATTATAATTGATTTTTTTTGTTGAAGAAGACAGTATAAAAGTGTTTGGTTTTTTTGTCTTCCTAGCATGTTGAATAGTTTCATAGAATCATTTTGATTGGAAGGGACCCTTGAAAGCTATCTAGTCCAACTCCCCTGCAGTGAACAGGGACACCTGCATCTAGGTCAGGGCGCTCAGAACTCCCCAACCTCACCTTGGCTGTCCAGTTTGTCCAGATTCAGAGTGTTAACAGCAGAGCCTGGTCATTGCTTGCATATGCAAGGTTTTATTTAAAATTTGTGAGTAACTAGGACTTCTGCATAGTAGCTTAATACAAAAATAAGCATTTGAGTATTGTACTTTAAGCAGGTGGAGGGGGTTGGTGTAGCCAGAGGGGGTGGAATGATACCCAACTAGTTATAATGGCAACACCATCCTTGAGGACTTGTTTTCCCTTTCGCTTTTGTTTCATGTACAGTCTTCAAGGTTTATAAGTTTAGTTGAAACCCTTGGAATACCCTTGAACATCCTTTTTTTAAAATGTTATACAAGGTCTCTGTATGCGATATGCTTACAGCATCACAAAAAGGTGGATGTGGATGGGACGCTACCAGTTCAGTGTTGGCCAAAAGACCAGCTCTGTGAACTGGCTGCCAATGTGAATTTTTAGAGGAAAGGCTCAATTCTGAAACCAACTTGTTGGATATTATTTTTTAATTTTATTTTTTAAAGGCAGAAGTAGTTCCAGTTTGCTCAAATGACGCTTGTCCAGCATGCTGCCTGGAGAATTTAAGGAAATGCACATGAGGAAGCTTTCTGCTCATACTTCTGTGGGTAGTACTGTTGTATTTTACCTTCTGCTTTGCAGGTGGCACCAAATTTGCAGGCTACATTCATTCAGACCTTTGTTCACTGTCTGACTGTGAGCAGGAAGGTGGTTTTGAGGTACTGTGGCAGTCAGCCCCTGTGCTGGGAATTCATGGCATTTTCTCCTTGAATCTAGGAACATGCTGTCTTTACTTTTCTTGTGCTGACTAGGATCGAGGAGACCAGGAATGCATATCCTAGAGTAGTAGTCAGCCAGCAATAAAACCTTTACTCTAAAGGCTTTTTGTATGTAAATATAAATTCTTGTCTCTGCATACTTTTGTTGTCAGTGTGTGCTGGAGATGTCCATAGTGAAGGCTACAGGAGTTACTTGGTTTTAAGTAAAAATCTGTCAATTAATGTTTCTAGTTTCCACAATCCATTCTGTTATCTGTGTCAATTTCTTGACAGAGACCAATATAAGATGGAATAGAAGCATTTGTAATATTTTTTTCTTGCTTCCTTGAGTTGCGCTATTCCTCCCGATGCCTTTTTGTGCTGAACTTGTCAGTTCTTGGATTTAGACAGCATCTGTTTGAATTACTCTGGGCACACCCTTTAACTCTCAACTTTTTTTTTTAATTAATTCTGACTTCTGGTTCAGTTCTTGACATTACCATGAACTCTGGATGTACGTAGGAAGTCATTCAGTCATTCACTGTAGTTTTCCTCATAAGTGCTGGGACAAACAGTGTCAGGTGTCAGCAGCTAAGAGAGCCTGAATAGTTACTGGAGAACAGAGACCTGATTTGCTGGTCCTCCTCTGGCACATCTCAGGAGGTACTGACAGGTCTTTGAATTTAGATCTAATTTTTCTTTTCTCCAGCCTCTCTGTACATTCACTGTCTTCTTCTGAGCGTGTTCTTTCTGTCTCAGACTCCTTCACCTTTTTATTTAAGGTTACTATTTCCCTAGCTCTGCCCATTGTGATTCTGCTTGCTCTCTTTTGCTTCCTCCTCTTGTTTTTTCGCTAAGAAAGGAAATCTATCCACTAAATTCCATGTTCTACCTACTGTTATTTATAAATCATGCATGTGCATGCAGAACTCAACAAACAGTTGGACTCCTATCCTTATTTCTTGTGAACTGCCTATCTCTTGCCATCGTGCTATCTGAAACTTTATACTGGTATCTGTGGTTAGTGAGGAATTGACAAGGCAAGAGCTGAGACACACCTATGCAACACTGCTGCAAAGACCAGAGATTCCCCAAGGTTCACACCAAGAATATATTGTAGGCCAACAATATTGTGTGCCAGTTTTTAGGTACAGTGAGTTATGTTCTGTGCTGAAATAAAATGTTATCATAGTATTGGAGCAAACCAAACTGCCCCAAAAGTACTGTTCTTTGAAGATGAAATTGTCGTTATGCAGTAGTGGCACGTGGATTTGAATCTTAGGTCACCTCAGAGGTAAAATGTGCATCTCCTCAGGATTTAAAAGCCTGCAGTTAGAAGTATGAAGTACTTAGTAAGCTTCAAAGGGGCTAAGTAGTGACTCCAGGAAGGCTTTCTATTACTTCAGTATTTTCCATTAGTTTGAAGCTGTGTAATTGTACCATAAACAGAAACTGTGAATTGAGTTATCCAGCATGCAGCAAGGAACCATTATTCAAAACACAGCTTAAACATAACATAAAGGAGAACCAGACTTGCATGATCAACAATGGGCAGGAAAAAAAAGTGATTTGTTTCTGTGTCATAGTGGGATTTCTGTTGGTTGGAGCCTGTCACTGCCTGCACAGCTGTTAATGCCTTTGGGGACCACTTTTCATGAGCTAAACTAGAAGTTATTTTGTTGTCACCTTGCCCTGTGGAACTGGAGGGGAGCAATGTTGCCTTGCCATTAATGAGATCCAGAAGTGGACTTCTTGACTGCAAGACTTGGCAGCATCAAAGAGGCTGGTGGTTGTACAGGCAGGGACTGATTTATTCACTTAAAACTATGTAGGAACTGCGTACCTGATGTTTCTAGGCCCTGTGTTGACTTGCATTTTAGAAAACAGCATTGAGGTGTATGTATCTCACTGCACTGCACTTTCCTCTTTGGAACAACGGTGTTGTATGAGCATTCAAGAAAAATAAACAGTAAAGTAAGTATGTACTGCGTGCAGTGGTTGTTAGACTACAAAAGGAAATACTTATGAATAACTCTTTTGAAAATGCTTTAATTGTGGCACCATGATTGACTTGATTGCCGTTTCCTCCCTCAGGTTCAATCAAAGACCACCCACAGCAGCAGCCCGGCATGCTCTCTCGTGTGACTGGTGGCATCTTCAGTGTGACAAAGGGAGCTGTGGGTGCCACGATCGGGGGTGTTGCTTGGATTGGAGGGAAGAGCTTGGAAATTACCAAAACAGCAGTCACATCAGTGCCTTCAATGGGAGTGGGGCTGGTCAAAGGAGGTGTTTCTGCTGTGGCTGGAGGTGTTACAGCAGTAGGATCTGCTGTTGCAAGCAAAGTGCCTTTAACAGGAAAGAAAAAGGACAAGTCTGACTAAAGCCAAAACAGAGACATACTTGATTTTCTAGAATATTACCTTGGTGGCATTAAAATCTTCTAAGATTTGGACCATGAGAAGCCACGTGTCTTAGACACTGTCTTCTGAAGAGAAAGCTGATTTCATCCAGAAAGGACAGAAGAAGCTTGGCTAGCACAGCATATGAAGATTTGTTACGGCCTAGTTTCAAGCTTTGTACCTGGTGGAATGTTACACTTGATAATTATAGGAGCGAGTGTGTGTGTCTGAAGGGGTAATGCATACTGAATAAGTCTTCTGCAGTTTTGGACTGAAATGTGAACTTAGAAACTTAAGTTGATAATCTGCCGTGCCATCAGTTTGATGAGGTGCCACTTACTGTCCTCAGTGGCTTCCGCACCCTCCTGCTAAGGATCCTTGAGCTGTGTAATGGCACCATGGGATGTGCCTCAATAGTTACAGTTAGGAAACAGTACTTGCAGACAGCCTGACAGTTTTCAATGACTGCACTCTGCCATTGCAGACTGGAAGCAAACAGATTGGAAATGAGAGGGAGATGGGAGGTGAGAATGTTTGACAGCATGGTGCAAGGGATAATGACACTTAACTTAATGCCTTACTAGAAAAGAATCTCACTTTATTAGGTGAAGCTTTGTAAAGAGCTCTCCTGTTGTTTCTGTGCAGTTCATTGAACAAGCTTCAGAGACTGTGGCTCAGATACCTGAAACTTGCTCAGTTTTTACTGAATACAAAACTGCTAAATCTCAGGTGTATTTAATGATAGGCATCTGTCTCCTGCAAGTGGAAACTTGCTTTGATCAGCTTCTGAGAGACACCAGAAAATAATGATGGCTTAATGGAAGTGAGCAAGTGGTTATGGTCATCTAACACAGCTATGTAACTTGAAAAATTGCTCTGTGTAGCTGGAAGCCACTGAAGAACCAGCACAACTGTTGTCTCAACTCCATGATGTGCCAGGTTAGCTTCTTGCTCTGTTCAAACGCAATAATTTTTTCACTACATCTTTATCTCATACTTAGCATTTTGAGTAAAATGCAGTACTTTTATTTAAACCAAAAAAATGGTATCTGAGCTCCCTTTAAAAAAAAAAAAAAAAAAAAACCAAACCATCTGAGTAAGCTGTTTACTGACAAATGCCAAACTTTGACACTCCTCCTATGGGAACATCTGTAGGTCCTCTGCAGTGTATGAGGCAAATTGCACTCCAAGGACACAGCTTGAGGTTGCCTTAAAGTAGAAGCTGCTGGTGATCTTTTTTTGTATGTGTGCTGACTTTGCAAATAAGAAGGCTGTGAACGTTGTATATGCAGTATTTTCTAAAAAGTTGTGTTCCTTCCAAAAACTTCTAAGATTATAAGCTTACTTTTCAGGTAGCTGTGGTTGTTCAAGGGTATATAGAAACTTTTTAGAAATTAAAGAAAAACAAAAAGTATATTACGTGTCTAAAACTTGCTCCTGTATTCATGGATGTTCAATGTAAACTGTGCACATGATGGTAGAGTGGTAACCCTGTCTTTCTGAGCCATTGGTACTTCAGCTGCAGTCTGGAACAGCTTTACAGGCGATCAGTAATGATTATGTATTGCTAGGTTCTCTGACTGGGGCAGTGGGGAGAGCAAAACCCTGCAGGTGGACCTCTGCTCCTTTTCTTAGTTGCACCAGTTGCTTATCTCTGAACTGCTGGAAGTGTGTCATGAGGTAAGGTCAAGCAATAAATGCAGTCCTTAACTATTTTTATAGTCAGAAGGTGACGGAATGCCGCGTAGTTTGCAGATCCCAGATAGCTGCAGGAATGAGCACCTCAGACACCAGCAGCAGTGGAGCTGCTGCAAATTATTGAGCCTGGTGTAGTTTCCAGTGTACCCCAGGGCACTACCAGTGAGCACTGCACACCAGCTGTTTGGGAGCATAGCAAGATTTGTAACACTCAACCCAACCCTTCACTGTTTTCTGAACACTCAAACATTGAACTTGTCTTACCCCTTTTCTTTTTATGGCATTCTTTAATTTTTATGCTATGAAACTTGCTGCAGAACAAGCGTGTTAGGAGAGATGCAATGTTAGAACTGTAAAAGGTTGCCAGCGCTTTGGTATGTTTTGTTCTTCGCATGTCCTGTAGTTGTTACTGCTGAATCTTGTAACTGAGATGCTTTACCATGGCGTATGGTTTTAATCTTTGAGAAAAGCTTTTTCGTGTATTCTGCGTATTTTTCATTCACTTAAGAAGGTCCCTTCTTTAAGAACTTGTTCTCACTGTCCTGACTCTTGTGAAACATTAAATTGTTGCTGTTTCAGACATACTGAAAGTTTCCTTAGTTACTTTGTGGAGAAAGGCTGACAACAAAAGGCAGATCAGTAAATGCTTTTGTCTGAATCTTCATACTGCATCGGTGGCCCAGGCAATCTGCACCTAAATAGCACCAAGCTGCTGTTAACAAAACCCACACTTACTGTGGTGTTGGCCGTGCACAGACGTAATGCAAAATCATCTTCACTGTTTGGTTTTTGTTTTGTTTTTCTCCTGGGAACTGAAGATTGGCGATACCCACTTTTAAGACTGTAGGAAGTTGAATAGAATATCAAACTTTTTTTTTAACTCTCACTTTCCCAGCCCCCCTATTTCAAAAGGGGAAATGTTTATGAACATGATTTGTATGCATGACTGCTAGTTTTGCAAAGAAAGGCTGGGCCACAGACTTTGAGAAGGTGGGGGATCAGCCTGTTCTCCCAGATAACAGCAATAGGATGAGAGGGAATGGCCTCAAGTCACGCTGGGGATGGCTCAGGTTGGATATTAGGAACGATTTCTTCCCAGAAAAAGCAGTGCTGCAGTGACACAGGCTGCCCAGGGAGGTGGTGGAGTCATTGTCCCTGCCGGTGTTCCAGAACTGTGTGGATGTCAGTGGGCATGGTGGGGTTGGGCTGATGGTTGGCCTAGATGATCTTAGTGGTCATTTCCAGTGTTAATGATTCTATGTTCACGATCGCTATAACAGCAGAGATTAAGAAGAGGATTTCAACACTGTAGCAGTCACTGAGTAATGTTTTGGCAATCAAGGGCTCATCTGAGGTTTTGTTATTGAATATAACTTGGGAAGAGCAGAGAGACAGGCCTCAGGCATACTTAAGGATGAAGGGCTGAATGAGTTTTGGCCGGCAGGTATAGAAAAGGAGTTTTTATGCTTTTGTTTTGAAACTTGCAGAAGGGAAAATGCTTTTGCAATAACTGGCAGTGACTGTTGAGGAAACAGGAAAATGACGTATTTCTTTCATTGCTACTGGGAGTACTTTACATGATGGGAATAGCAGTAGCAGGAATTGTATAACCGGACACCAGTGGAAATGCTAAATTTTTTTATGGAAAACATTCTCTTATGTCTCAGTTTTCTTTTCATCCTGAATGACTGCTTGTTTCTCGGGCTCAGCATTACAGTAGATGGTATTATGAATACCTCTGAAGAGCTGAAATGCCCCCTTGTGTCTGAGGGATGGAGGCTTTTGAATCGAAATATGGTGATCACAGTAAAAGCTGAGTGCTGGAGGACAGTCAAACAGTGACAAAGGCTAGCTGCTGCAATCTTTTCATATGGCTCTCTCTGCTCCCTCCTATAAATCAACTGTGTGTTTCGAAGAGTCAGCCAAGAAATGGCTTAGTAAGGCAGGTGAACATCTGTGGTGCCTGGTGGTGGTGTCACTTGAGTTCTGGCTGCCACCACATGTGCTCTGGCCACAGGGTGCTCACCTCCACGACCTGCTGGCATCCCGTCATGGCTTTGACCAGATTTTGCACTAGTTAATGTGGCACGCTGCGTGGCATCACCTTGCAGCTCACTTTCTAGATAAGTAATTCAATACCACTGTTCTTCTGTGTTTTAAAGCTCCTCTTCAAGAGAAGGAACCCTGGATTTGGATGGCCTGGCGTGGGGGTGTGGTTGGTTTAGCTCTTGATGCCAAAGGGGAATCTGTATAGAACAGCTGCTTAAGCAAGTCTGCCTTTATTTTTTACGTGTAATATTGCTGATTCTAATTTTATTGAGAGGAACTTTAATGGTGCTACTATTTTTTAATTATTATTCACAGCCCATAAATGAAAAGAAATAAAAATCCCCCAAGGATTTAAACACTTTAGGACAGGTACTATTTTAAAAGCCAGCACTTGTCAACAATTACAGTGATACATGAGAAACCGTCACCCATATACTTAGAAACTACGGCAGCTATTTGCAAATCTGATGGTCACTTTAAATCACCTGTGTGCTCAGACTCTAGTTCTGTTATACCCATACAAAAATGGGACTTTTCCCTTTCTCTTTTAGTCATGTGAGACTCATCTAAGTCACTCTGTAGCCTTTTCTCTCCCCATGCCTTGCTAGAAAAGAAGAAATGAACAACCACGTAACAGCAATAAATGTATTTCCTTCTGCCCCCCATCCTTTTGCAAAAGGAGTCAGTTTCTATAGTCATGAAAATTTCAAGGAGGTTGTCTTATAGTTTCTTTGCGGTATGGTTTGTAAATGAACACACTACGGTATTACCATAGCAGCTGCTAAATACAAATGCTGTATTCTGCCTGTTTTCAGACTATGCTGTAGCTGGGTCCTGCCACCCACAAGTCACATCTGCTTCAATTCTTCAATTCAGGATGCAGGAGCTGTAGCCACTTCCTGCAGCAGAAAGGAATGGAACTCGATATACATCTCCAAAGGCAGTGGACCAGTGGGTGGATTCATATTACTGGCAAAATAATCCTCCTTTTCTTTCTCAGATAAAGATTAAGCTAAGCACTACCACAGACAGTGCAGAGATGGAGCTGAAAAGCCACAGAAGCTAGAGGCCAGGCAGATAAGGAAATCAGAACCAAAAAGATACGTAAGATGCTCCCAGGGGGAAAAAAAATAATCCTTATGTAAAGGATTAATCAACCTTTCCCATAACCAGCATTAAAAAGCCACAATTTTATAATGAAGTTGTGCGTAAAGCCCGCTCCACGACAAAGGAAAGCATAAGGCTACAACCTGGTTAAGATGATTTTTGCTTCAACTCCTATCAAAGAACCAAAACTTCTTTTCTCTTTGATCATTCTCTATTGCATAATTTTAAGTACAGTTTTCAAATTAATCTTCAATGTTCAGAGGAGCAACAGGATTAAACATCGGTCTCTCCTTCTTTGATTGTATCTTACCATAATTTGCTTCAAAGTCTTTCTTAGTACCATTCAAGTTTTCTAGATTTCCACTCTTTATATTGTATCCCAAAGCAGAGAGTTTTTTAATCCTGTACTGAACAATTTGTGTTGTCAACTCCAGCACCATTGGTGTCTCTCTAATCTGCGCTATAGAAATTCCTTCCTTCAGCAGTCCCTCAAGTCTTTCTTCCAGAATAGGAACGGAATAGTAGAGAAGGGCTGGGCATTTCAGCACCAGTTGTTTGAATTCTTGATCGCTGCACTTAAAGACATTTTTGGAGAAAAGCATGCTCTTCTGCATAGTGGAGGGTGTAAGCTGAAAAATAAAACCTTTAAGTTTGGACAGCAGCTGTAGGACTTCGTGGTCGGTGAAATCACTCTTCTGTAGAAATTCTAAGTTTTCCTGAATTGCCGAGGAGGTACTTAACAAAATAAATGGATTTTGGCTCAGTAACTTCAGTATCCAGATCTTCATATTTGCATCAGAACCTCCTAAACTTAAGTAATTTCTCTGTAACGTCTCTATCATGTGTTTGTTTTTCTCAGCTGGATTGTGGAAGATATTGGGTGCGCTCGTCAAGAACCTGGTGATTATATTATTTTTAAGTCCCAGTTCCTGAAAAAACAGAATATTTGCTTTCTGGTTCTCGTGATACCCAGTAGTGAAGAAAGAATCTGGAAACTGCTCTATTAATTTAATCAGCTGGTCTTCCTTCTGGCATACCAGTTGCCACAGAGCTCTTTGAGAGTTCACCTCTGCAGGACTACGCAGCACTGCCTCTGGGCAGCGTTCCAAGATGCTGGCTATAGCAGGCTCATCAGCACCCATTTCTTGTAGAATTCTGGCAATTTCTGGAACATAAGCCACCTCCTGGAGAAGGACCCATTCCTTTCCTCTGCGTATTTTCTTAATATCGACGGACAGTCTGTGGAGGTCCTCAATGGTTTTTTTATTTTCCTCTCTAGGCTTTGTATCAGTTGTGTACGTTGAATGGATTAAGAAGCTTCTGTTTGTTACCTCAGGTCGTAAGGGCAAAAAATTCAACGCAGGGCTACTGCAGTGACATCTTGCCAACAGAAATGTGACTGTATCTTTTGCACTGCGAGCAACTCCTCTCAACATCATGGAATGCAGCTCTACGCAGGGAGAAAAAACAATGCTTTGAAAACACATTGAAGACAAATTATACCTCACAGTGTTCTCAGAGCCGTTGATATTTAGACTGAGATGACATAAGAAATTACTCTTAACAGTATTTTTTTGTTATTAGCACAAAAAATCAGCTTTTGTGCAGAAGGGAAAGAAAAGATTTTGGAAAGGTTAATGTTCTGATTGATGCCTCACCAGAACATAACGTGTGGATGCAACTGTGCTGCTATGGGGGCAGCACTCTGTCCATGATATGCTGCAGTCATACGAGAACAAAGCTGTCAGCTATTTCCTGCTAGTGACGGTGTTACAGCTCACTCACTCTGCAGTGGAAAAATGTTACATGCAATTTAATTTGACAGCAATTGTACTAAATGAATAAAAACAAAACAAAACACTAAAATACAGCTTAAAACATACTTCTTAGCTCTTCTTAATGTATTTGCTTAACTGCTTAGGCATTGTTTAGAGCATGATATGTTCCTTCATGTGTCAGAACACTCCCAGGTGCTCCTTCAGTAGCAGTTACAGCCTAACTGCCTTATCAACTCATTCTCCATGCAATTAAGGAAAGAATCATCAAACCCATTTGTGTACCTATGCATTTTTCATTAGCTGAATCTGTTAACAGCGGTTCAGTAATCACCCTGATAGTTGGGAGAGGAAGCCAGCATAGTGCCACATCTTCAGGCCTTTACTTGCCTCTACATTACCCTCTTTCCACCTTCTGCTTTCTGTCCTTGCCTGCCACCTCCAGTGGGCCCAGAGCCATCGTGCAGCCCTTTGGGTAGTGCACAGCCACTGTGCGGCTGGGGATAACCTAGTGGGGCAGCTTTGCTGGTGCTGAGTGCCAGGTATCATGAACAGCACAGGCAGTGCCCCCTGCTCGGCTAGAGGAGCTGCAGTGGCAGTCGTGCATGCATAAATATCACAGAGTGTATCCTTAACTTCCTAGGGGGTGGTTTTGTAACACCCTTTGGGAAGCACCGAGGTGGAAGTGAGAACTTCTGGTCTCTGAAATGCTTGACCTAATTGCTGCTGCTGTTAACACACTGAAAATTGTCCTAACTCAAAAGGGGGAAAGAAGATACAATTATGTTGGGTATTGGACAACCCTATTTATACAGTCACATTCAGCTCTTCCAAAGCATACTGTGCTTCAAAAAGTACCCACTGAGTATTAAGTAAGGCTTTTTTGGCTGGGTTTTTGTTTGTTTTTTTTTTTTTTTTACTTTTTTTTAGAGAGAAAAGACAGTTACAATCACCCAATCTGATCTCTTGCATAACATAAATTAAGAAGCTTCATGCAGAACAGCTATGTGAAACCCTTACAATCTGATTTATATCCATCTTTCACGAAAATTCATGATTTGTTTAGGGGATCAAGTGACAGAACTTCAGGTATGGTTAAACATTTTCTAGTGATAAAATACTTTTTTGTCAATAATGTGTATCACTGCTTTTAAGTTGACGCTTTTCAGTTTATAGTTTTATATTTATTTATTACGTTGCCACATCATAAACTAGTAGATTAAGACATAGAAAATGCTGAACTACACTCAAGCTTGCCGTTAGCAGAAAGCTGTTCACCAGTAACTTGGTTGTTAGTCATATTTCAAGTTTTTGAGGCACGACCTCACAGCTCAACTAAGCAGTATGTCATAACCCCAGGTTTAATGGCTTTATCTTCATACACTTTGTGGCTTGAGAATTACTGCCCAGTGAGCTCTAGCACTGAATGAGTGATTCTCCAAGTAGCTGTGAAAGCAACCCAAAGTGCAGGTAAGCCACAGATTTTTCCAGTGTTGTTTCCTTTTGTATCCTGAAAAAGTGACTTTCACCAGGACTGAAAACTGAAGCCTCTCCTCCAGAAGAGATGACACAACTGGCTGTGTTTGAGAACTGAGTGATTCTATTCCATTCACTGGGTCCAGTCAAAGTAAGCAGTCTCTGAAAGGTCAGTGCTTTCTGCATTAATGTTTTAGCTCAGCTGAAAACTGCCATCTAAATAAACTATTGTTAAAATTGTTTGGGGTGTCAGGTGATACTTCCAAAGTACAAACAGGGAAAACAACTAACCATTACTTTTATTTCAATGTGTAATCCAGCTGTTAGGCTAAATTGCCTTGTGAGTAATCAGACACTTACAATAGAGAGTCATCTAACAGATTAGTTATAGAGCTTTTTAAAAACAAGGCCAAATTCTGCAACAGTAAACTGCGCTTTTCTTTTTCAAAGTCTGACATGGAAATTCTTGTTAAGTTTGCTTTAGAGAAGCTTTAGGTTGTCTGGAATTATATTTGGCATCACAGTCATTTCTTCCTTGGTGATAGTGAGAATGGCAACCCTGTACATAGCGGGGGGATTGAAACTCGATGATCACTGTGGTCCTTTTCAACCCAGGCCATTCTTCACTTGCTAAACCACATCTGACTGCATACCCATGAACTTTTGTAAAACAGTGAGCAGATTATAGTGAAAAGAGATGAATAGATGATAATGTTACGGCGTGCAGCAGGAACTGAGAAGCTTAGCGGTCACACTTGGTGTTTGAAACGCATGTTGGAGTCTGTAGATGACAACAGCACCTGTTGTCACACAACAGTCCTGAGTATTTAACCTGTGCCTATGTTATGTTCTCATAAGCTCATGCCGGACAGCGGTTGATACCTGTATCGCAACGGGGTTTGCAAGTCTACGTATGGAGAGATTACAAACCCAAAAGGCAGCCCAGATGGACTGCTGGCTCTCACCCAGCTGCACCCCCTACAGCACAGCCCCCCTCGCCCACACGGCCCCTCCGCCCCGCGCCTGACCTGGCTCCTGCTGAGCGCTGCGCGGCCGCGCCGGGCCCGACCCCTGTCAGCGGGCGGGGCGGGGCGGAACGAACGGAACGTACCATAGCGTGGGGGGGGGCGTGCGGAGCCGCCGTACCGCCATGGCGCGCACGCGGACGGCTGTGGGGTGTGGATCTCTCCCGTAAACAAGGACTTTGCCATCCTGCAGCTGCAGATTTAGCGTGCTGAAGTGATGTCTTGGTGCTTTTTGTTCTTAGAGTGCGGTGAATGCGCTGCGTGGTCTCCGTGTGGGAAATGGCCTCAGGTTCCTGAGGAGAAGCACGCTGATGCCTTTAGGGGAGGCTTCTGTAACCTCAGTGCGTGTCTTTCCATGTGATCGCTGCACTTGTTACAGAATGAAGCAGGAAATTCATAGATGTGGTCATCGGGCTAGCAGGGGGTGCTGGTGGTGTTTCAGAAGCTGAACACGCTGTGCTGGTGAGGATCTGCTTCCTCTGGGTGATTTGAGCCGTGTCTGCCTCGGATCTCTTCCGAAGTTAGAAAACAAATCAGTGACACACAAACCATTTCTACTCGTAGACACGTGAGCACTTTCATACATAAATTACTGAGCTTCGAGGCAGGGGGGAGATCAACTTTTTATACAGGTAGATAGCAATTAAACAAGGAGGACCAGTTTTAAACTAAAAGGAGATTTAGGTTAGTTAGGAAGAAATTCTTTACTCAGAGGGCAATGCAGTGCTGGCACAGCTGCACAAAGAGCTGTGGGTGCCCCATCTCTGTAGACTCAAGGTCGGGTTGGATGGGGCCCTGGGCAGCCTGAGCTGGGGGGTGGCAGCCCTGCCCACGGCAGGGGTTGGAAGCAGATGATCTTTAAGGTCTCTTCTAATCCAAACCGTTCTGTGATTTTACTGTTTTTCAAATTAGCATGGGATCCGCATGTTCGTATCCTCCAGAGCATTAAAATTGCCACTGTTGGCTCTGGAAACCCTTCTGTTGTCTGTTGTCACGTTCAGTAGCCTGTGTTAGATCTAAGTGTGAGAGAACTGCAGAAGGGCCACTCTGTGAGCCCAGTTCGGGCTGTTTCCCACCGCGCTGCTCTTTCACAGTCAGTGTTGGTCAGTGTGTACCACACAGCAGCATACAGTCATGTTAAGAACAGGGACCTGAAGAGCACTCCTACTACTTAAGGTATCGTATACTTGATGTATGTACTTCATGTTCAATTCCTATCATGTCACACCGTTGTCTTATCCTTTTCCCTTTGTGACCCTTCCCTCTTGATTTTGTTCTCGTGGCCTGCACTAAATGAGCCCAATTAGCAAACAGTGCTCCTTCAGAAAGTTACCCGCAAGAGAGCACAGCAGCGAGATGAGTGAGATCTTTGATTAACCATGGCTTTATTTCTCTCCTTGCTCAGAGAGCCTCTGGAGCTTACACACCTTAATTAATACATTCTTCACCTCCCTTACACTTCTGACCCGCAGCCCAACGGCCTACCAAGGAAGGTACGGTCAGAAGGTGCTTTATCCCAGGGCTTGGCACACTGCAGCTGTCGTTCAGCCTGCAGTGATCACGGCTCGGGGAGCGGCGGTTATGAAACCCGCGAGGGAGGGCTGCGGGGAGGTGAGGGCGGACTGCCGCCTCTCTGCTCGGCGCCTCAGCCCTGGCAGGGACCGGGACGAGAGACCGGGCTCCGAGCCGCTCGGAGAGAGAAGTTCCAACCTTACAAACAAACACCGCGTTGCGAATAACTAGCAGGCAGCCTCGCTGTGCCCGCGTACTTGGCAGTTTTGTAATCGCCGCTGGGGGAGGGGAAGGGGTGGGTGCCGTGCGGGCTGGGCTGGCTGCGTAGGCATTACATAAGCGGCCCGTCGGTGGGGACGGGGGAGGCGGAGCGGGGATCGGTACTCCGCCTCGGTGCCGCCAGACCCGCAGCGAGACGTGAGGGGTGGGATAGGGGTGAGGGTGAAAGCGGGGGACGCTCGAGGGGAGCAGCGCGGCACCGCGGCGCATGCGCGCCGCCTTCAGCGGGAGCGCGCGGGGCGCGATATATAACAGTCGGCGGGCGCGCGCCCAGAGGGCCGGCAGCTCCTCAGCGAGGCGCCTAGCGGCCCAGCGCCACGCCGCCCCCTCGCGCCGCCCAGGTTGGGCGGGAATCCCGCCGCGCTGCGCCACCTCCCGCCGCGGCCGGCAGCGAACACACTTCAGAAACGTGAGGGCCGGCGGTCACGTGGGGGCGGAGGCGGAGGCGGCCAATCGGCGGCGAGGGGCGGGACGGAGCGCCCGGCGGAGCCCCGGAGCAGTCACAGGGCGAGCGGCGAGGTGGCGGCCGTCGGCGGCGCGGCACGAGGAGAGTGCGCGGCTGCTCCCCGTCCCCGAGCCGTCCTCTCCCGCCGAGCCGCGGGACTCCGCGGGGTGATGCGTCCCCGTCGGGTGGCCACCTCCGCCGGATCCTAGAGCGCTCGCGCCGCTCTGCCCCCCGCACCGCGCGGGGCGGCGGCCGCCCCCTGCTCGCCCGGGCGCCGGGCCATGAGCACGGCATGGGGGTGAACGCCGTGCACTGGTTCCGCAAGGGGCTGCGGCTCCACGACAACCCGGCGCTGCGGGAGTGCATCCGGGGCGCCGACACCGTGCGCTGCGTCTACATCCTGGACCCTTGGTTCGCCGGCTCCTCCAACGTGGGCATCAACCGCTGGCGGTGAGTGCGGGCCGGCCGCGGGCGGGGAGCTCTGGGCGGCCGTGCGGGGAGATTCGGAGCGGGGCGGCCCCGCGTTGCGCGACGCCGCGCGGGGCGAGGGACGCTCCGTGCGCGCCATATAAGGAGCGGGTAACGGCTGCCCCGGTGGGGCGCTCCGGGCGTCGCTCGGCGGCTGCGGCCCCGTGCGCGTGCGGTGACCGCGGGGCTCGGCACCACCCGTCCCGTCGGGAACGCGGCGCGGGGCTGAGCGCTGCCTCGGACCGAGCGGGCGCGGCGTGACGGCACTGCGCCACGTCATGACCGGGGACGGAGTTGGGATGGTTCCGTGCTCGGTTCCGCTTGGTTCTCCTCGAGGATGGTTTCGGACCCCGTTACTTCTCTTGCTTTGGATTCTACTTGTGGTCTGGTCTCTGGTTTTCAGGGGATAGAAATACTAAGGTTTCTTAGGTTAACCTTTCCTGGATGGACACTTCCACTGGCAACAATAAGGCTCATAGCATTCAGTAATAACTTCAGTTATCATTTCTTCCATGTCCGAGGTCCATTACGCATTTCTATCACAGTGGCTTTTTGTTTGTTTTGAAGGGAAGAACTCCTTTCGCATAATGAGCCCTAATGCTCTCAGTGTTGATCGTTATGGACAAAGTATGGTCAGTGCTTAAGTTTTAAGAGAACCCGGGCAATGGGAACAGGCCTGGGTGCTAAGGGAATCACATGTCTTAGGAATACTTCATAGGCTTCTGATGTGTTTTGCAACTGAAATACTACATAACACCAAGCCATTGGGTTGTGTTCTGTGAGCTGTGAATGGTGGATAGGTATGAATCATAGAATGGCCTGGGTTGAAAAGGACCACAGTGATCATCTAGTTTCAACCCCCCTGCTATGTGCAGGGTCGCCAACCAGCAGACCAGGCTGCCCAGAGCCACATCCAGCCTGGCCTTGAATGCCTCCAGGGATGGGGCATCCACAGCCTCCTTGGGCAACCTGTTCCAGTGCGTCACCACCCTCTGGGTGAAAAACTTCCTCCTAATATCTAACCTAAACCTCCTCTGTCTCAGTTTAAAACCATTCCTCCTTGTCCCATCACTATCCCCCTTGTAAACAGAACATGAGCTTGGATTTTAGCAAAAGGAAGCTCATGTCTGTAGTGCTACAGACCTGGTTCTTTAGTGGCCATTTAATACGAGCTTCAGCTAGTGCCTTCCTTGAGTACCCTTGTGTAAAACACTTCATCTGCTTTGACTAAATTGTTCACTTTTGCAGTTTTTGGTGTTCTAAAAGACAGTCCTCTACACTGCCTTTTGTTTTTGAAGAAAATTATCTTTTTCAATTGATGGCTAGGGGGATTGTTTTTCTTTGTTGTTTGGTGTTTCTAGAAGAGAGAGATTTTTGTTTTCTTTTTTTGGAGGGGAGCCCTCACCACCACCACTCCTTTTTTCTGTATGAACAGAGGCCTACAGAAGGAGAGTGAGTTCCTCTCTGCTATCCCAAGCACTTTTCAGACAGCCTCCTGGGACTTGTACAGCTCAGGGCACATGCTGTACATGGCTTTGACTAGAAGATCCCTCTGCTTTCATAGCCCAGTTTTGTAAGCCCTTCCCTCCCCCCTAAGTCTGAAGAAATACATTAATTTTTGTGAAGTAGGTGACTGACAGAGCTTTGTTTGTTAGAATGAACACCATCAAATCATATTTAAATGAACGCTTAGTAGTTTGGAATGGGTCCATTTTAGGTTCCAGTGGTTTTAACGAGCTATTTTTAACTGATGGCAATGCACACTCTCATAGCATGCACACCCGAGACTTATGATGCGATTTTTTTGGCTTGCCAGTCTTGTTCTGCACTTGTAATTGATAACCAAACATTTTATCTCCTTGGTCACTGGATGACTGTTGGCAAGATGCTTGCATGTCTGTGCTGTAGGGTGTTGCACTGGTCAAAAATGCATATTGTTTGAGATTAGGAGCAGCAACCTCTCAGCATTTGGAAGATGAGTCAGATTTAATCTCTTGCAATAGTTTTACCGTGATCTTTCATTGGTTTGGGTAGGTTTACACCAAGAGTTTATGTTATGCTGAGTTAATGGTTCCAGTGACCTGAGCAAAACTCTTGTTGGAGGTATGACTAACAGTGAACATGAGGAAAATGGTGTAAGAACGCTAGGAAAACAGGGGGTTTATCTTCTGTTGGAAACAATATTGTTACTCTGCAGACTCAACAGTTGTGGCTCATTTTGAAAATGTGTTTTAGATTTTGCAACCTTGAATACATTTCTGATGAACTTTTCTCTTTAAACAGTCATGTAACACTCATGAACTAATATTTTTGTGTAACTGCACTATTGAGCAAGCCTAATTACCAAGCAGTCACATGGCCTTACTGACCTCCTTTCTCCTGGCATGCAGCCTACCTGTTCTAAAATCATGAATGCTATGTAA